CATGGTGGCAGGCAGAATGAAAGCCACCTGCTTACTGCGTTTCGCAGATTCCTGCTTCTCTTTGTACTCCTGCATCACGTGTGTGCAGAACTCACCCTGTGTCAAATTACTCTGTGTTAGAACTGTTAATGTTCAGGTTGTCTGTAGCCCATGTTTCTAGGTGCCATGGTTGCCATGGTTATAAGTGAAAAGGTGTATCTGAAGTAGGGGGACAGAAAAAAGCATAAGTTCTTCCAAAACCTCATACATTTTACATGTGTATAGCGAGATAGAAAATATTAAATATGTCACATCATGCTTTCCAAATTAATAGTAGCGTAGTAAATAAAACTGAAATTTTATGTTATCACTTTATCCATAATTCTCTAACCTTACTAAGTGTCTTCACCATCACAAGTGGAGACTCTGTCTGTGTGTATACATGGATGGATTACTGAACAGGTCTACTGGGCACAGGCCCAGGGGCACAAAGTTTCAGTGGGCCCCCTGGCCCTCACTAGCAAAATGTCACTCAAATGAACACATACCAACCATGAAGGGATCAAAATGACCACAGAGAGATGCAAAAGAAAAGCAAAGAGCAAAACAATTTAACTCAAACAACCACAGAGACACAAAAAGACAAAAAATATCTCAAAGAAAACAAATTACCTAAATAAGACACAAAATTATCTTAATTAACACAAAATGACTAAAAAGAGAAACAAAATGACCAGAATTACTTCAATAACACACAAAATTACCTCAAAGAGACCCAAAAAACTTGAAAGAGAAGTGAAAGCACCACAAAGTCTGTGTGTCCTGCTCCTACATAGGAAAGGTGGTGGGGCCCTTTGCATATCTGTGCCCAAGAGCCTATTGTCTCATAATCCACCTATGCATATATATAAGTACAGTAGTAAAATCACACTGAAAAGATATTTACAGTTACGTCAAGTGTCAATACTCAGTGTAAGGTTTTACATGGGAAACCATCACCTTTGAGTCAGAACAAGACAAATGTGTTATTGTACAGTCAACTTGGCACTAAAAAAGCTGCTTTAACCCAAATCATTGGTGAGATCCAGTCACACTTGTTCCATAAATCCTAGCTGAATTACAGTTGCCAAAATAAACCTGTCACTTCCTAGTGGCGTAACTGTTTTATTGCAGATTCCTGGTGTTTGCATGCATGAGAAGTGTCATAACTAAGGCAGTTCTCCTGAATAAAAATGCTGCATGCTCCATAAGAAACAAATATGAATTTCATCTCACCCATGAAATTCTCCCTTGGCCTGAATAATCAATCTTCTTAAATAACCCCTGAATCTGCGCGTTGCTCTGTGAAATTCAAAGAACAAAAGAATAAAGAACAATGACACTTATTGTAAATTAATCAGGTAATTGCAGAGGCTTGTCCTCTATTGCAAAAGAGTGAGACACAGAGATCACAGAGATGAGAGAATCAGAGAGAACGAGAAATGACACACTGTCTTACTGTCTCGGGCAAAGCCAGACACTTCTTCACAATACGTGCAAAGTTCTTTGCATTAATGGATCTCAAGCCACCCGCGTCAAATTCCTTCAAAAAGAAAAATACAGTCAGATCTTCCCGAAATTAATCACCAGACTGTCAGTGTGTTTTCAAGAGATGCGGTTTTTACAATACCTCAAATAATTTCTGGAGGTTGTCGAGTGATATCGTCTCATCAATCTTATTGGAGAGAGAAAAGACTGTGACATTATAATATGACATGAGCCAATTACTATAAAGCAGACTGATTGTGAATATTAAAAAAAGAGCAGGATGCACAACAAAACCAGTAATAAAGTTCAACTGACAAAAATGCTTTTTCCCCAGTCCACTCAAATCCACTCACCAGGCAGTTGATAAAGTCTGTGTGCTAAAAATACAAATTTGGAGAGGAGACATTAACACTGTGTAATTATGAACGCACATGATTAAGGCTCCACCTCTGAGTACTAATGAGTATCTGTAAAGGCCACCGCAAGCCATCACCGGCTATGTTATGTCTCTGCAATGCTTGCACAAGGCCAGATGACAGGCCGTGCTCTCTGTGTTAATGGCCTCTCTTCAATTTGCGGCGGTTTCCTAGCAACGGATCCGTGATCCATGAAACTCTTTGATCTATCATTAATAAACAACAGGGATAAACAGCCTAATTCCTCAAGGATGTAACTAGAGTTGAGGTTTCCCCACGGTATCTCCTGAATTGCAGAGATAATTGTTTTATCAGTCAGAGTGATGGAAGTGCTGAAAGTGTTCACATAACCTCGACTGCTTTCCAAATCCCTTTATTAGAACTGCATAACTTTGAACTCCTGAGCCTGTTCCTTCTAATCTGTCATGGCACATTGCTCGTTACATTAAGCAGGAGAGTGTGACTGACATCTGCAAGTGAAACCCACAAACTTCAGCCTGTGTGCCTTTTGCACCAGCCTCCTACATCAGTCCATCATTCCTGTCAGCTTGAAAGCTTGAATTTAAATTTACTGGGGTCCTTTTAAGTAGTTGGCTCGGCAACTGTGTTTGTTTTACTTTGGCCTGAAGCATGGCCATCCCAGGCTCTGGGAGAGATTGTCCTGCCCGATGCGCTGTCAGGCTGTGAGTAAATTGATCATCAACTTGATTTAAAATGGCACTTTTGGCATTACCTCACATTCATTCTGCTGCTCACCTTGTGAGTGAGATATACTGCAGCTGAAGTTGAGTTTAAGCACTTTGGAAAGAGTCATGTAAATTGGTGAGTGTGACAATGTAACACTCTGGTGACACCTTGAGGCTAAAAGCAGCAACTTTCTGAAAGTAGACTCACCGGGAAATACTGAAATAATCCAGGCTTAGAACACATTTTCAGATGCAGAGAAAGGTTCAAATAGATCACACTTGACTTCTCTGATTCCACTTTCAGATAGATGATTTGACAACTGTACCTTGAGACTGCAGAGTGTGCGAGCTGATTCAATACTGTGGTGTTGTCGTGTCATGATTTGAGCCGTATCTCCAAGTGTGACAGTGTGCCTTCGCTTGTTCTGTCTCAGCAGCTCTCGAACCAACCATTCAGGTGGCTCTTTTCTGTCCTCGCTGACACCTCCTCGTCTTGGTCCTGAGACTTCATCTGTGACTTTCTTACCCTGACAACCTGGCCCAGAAGTGCATGTTGTCCTGCCTCCTGTACGCCCCAGTTCAGAGAGGATGCTGGAGGATTTGAAATGTTGCTTTAATTAAATGTGTGCACTTTGTTATTATGGGTAAATGTTGCTTTGGCACTAATTAAAAATATATGAGATGGTTGTTATTGTTGCTGTACATGATTTAGGGTAGACACTGTTGTTACAAACTTTTTGCAATAAATGTGCAAGTTGAAACTGCACATGAATCTATTTGACATTTGTTATTCTAAGCTATAGGTGACCATACTTCCTGTACTACACGGTAACTGCTCAGTGCTGCCACAGATGGCAACTCAAGCACCATGACAACAGTAAACATTTTCTGAACATGACAGGCTCAAGGCAAGGTCTCAAACCCATGGTCCCATTACCCTTTGATCAGACATTCAAATTTAAAATGAAGTAAAACTTTGTATTTAATAGGCTCAATACTCGCAAAAAAACTGTGCTTGCAATGCTGGTAAGGAGAGAAACAAAAACAGCAGGTTACCTGCTCACGTGTTGTGTTTCTAATCTCCCTGAAGCTGAAGAAGAGCGGACCCTTTTCCCCAGTGGCATCCTCGTTAAATGGTGAATCTTTAGGGCTGATGTGACGCAAAAAGCAGACTTTGCAACGCATTTCCTGAGTCAGACCTCCAAACAGACGTTAATCAGACAGATCTCACATTAGTCTACCTGACACTCACTCTAACATTACACCTGAGCAGAGCAGGTGGCCTCACGGTAACTAAGAAACCAAGGGTGACAACTGAGACTACAAGACGTAAGGCAAGAATCCTGCCTTTAAAGAGTGAGTGACGGTTTCGTCAGCGTGTTAGTGACAGCTAGTTTAAGCCTAACAATGTACTGCGCTGTTTACTTTGTGTTTAAATCAGTTAACATGTAATCATAGTTTAATGTACCTCATTAAAAGAATACCTCACCCACAAAATGACCAGTTGTAATTCAGTTTGCTGTGCTGTTTTACCTTGAGCTCATAAGAAAACTGTTTTTTCCCGTGTGCCTCCATGGAAAATGGTGGACACATTTTTTTATTGATTGGTTTGGGACTACGCTTAACAACAGCCAAACTATATCAAAACCATATCAAAACATCTGTTTTGATGTCATCCAATTCTTATTTATCCAGTCGTATGCTCAGTGCTTCCCAAATACCTGCATTTTCACTAACATATCAATACATAAAATTGAACAGAAAGTGAAATTTCTCGATGATCTCTTCAAAGACAGACTCCAATACTTTTTTTTTCAGTGAAATGCAATGTGTTTGGGAAGCACTGAGCAAACAACTGGGCAAATGAGACTTATACTGCATGACCTGTGTGGAAAATTTGTAAACAGGTTTGTTTTTTTTTTATAGAGTTTTGTTGCTGTTAAACTTGGACCTCAGTCAATCAATAAATCAATATGTTTGCAGTTTTCTGTTGAGGCGTGTGAGAAAAACAAAGTTTTCTTCACAAATTCCAGATAACATTGCATGACTAACTGATATACAAATTGATATTTTGTGGGTCGAGTATTTCTTTAATGTTGACAAATTTTCATAATTCCATTTTAACTACTTAGGGAATTAATATATTTTTAAAGCAAGATAATTAATATTCCTTTTGAAAAGACTTGGAAAACGTCCCAAAACAGAAGAAACCAAAAAGTGTTACTGCTGATCTTGTTATCAAGTTGCAAACAGACTGCATAACGTCAGAGAGCAGAGTGTGGGGGCAATGAAACATGAAGGCAGACAAATATCTTTTCATCGGTCAGAGATGTTTAATTATCACACAAGTTCCACACAAAAAAAGACAAAGCAAATCAATTCTGTGAGACACTTTTAATTTGCAGTGTGTTATATCAATTGTTACATTTTTTATCCATACCATGACAAGAAACTACCTAAAAAACACAAAATTCAAAGACAGATAAACTAACTACTGTAGCAGTAAGGTTCAGAGAGGTCCTGGCCAGCTCGATATCCACTCTGGAGAGCGGGGATGAAGCACAACTGCTGGGAGTTTATTCACCTTCTCCCTGTTGTTTGGACAATCTTTACTCAAAACTGTTTTAATGGCCTCCCTTTCTGAAAAGCAAAAGCAAAAATAACATGAATGCCCTGTCTGTCAAATCAAAATCAGTATTAAAATGCTTCAACATTCAAAGACATAAGTTGATACTTACCCTCCTCAGGTAAAATTCTGTGTAACTGCTGCAGCTCCTGAGGCAGCAGAGACTTTATCACACATGTGACATCATTGACTCTTTTCCCACAAAACCTGTCATAGTTTGTCAAATCTGATCTTTTCTGCTGAGCGTGCCTTTGCACAACAGTTGGAACTGCAACACACAGAGGATAATCAAATGATATAAAAACATTAAAATGTGTTTCAAGCACCCTTTCTCAACATTTTTTTAGCATGCATTACCTATACCACAACAGGCCATGTTAGGACCTGTGTTGCAGCTGTGGTGTGACTGATTCACCAGCAGTTCAGGTTTTTGCTTTGGCTGGCGGTAATTGTCCCTCATCTCTGTGTCAGTAGATAGCAGCGGCCCTTCGTGCCTGCTGTGCAGAGTAAATCTTCTTCCTGCATTATTAATACGATCAACTCCAGCCAAACAAGTTCCACAACTAAAGGCAAATAAACTGTAGATACAAATAATACGGTGGCTTGTTTGGACATCCCTGAGTGCTTGAATGTCAGTAGCTCAGGTGTTCTTACACACTTTCATATACACAAGACTGAACCAACAGACTTGCCTACCTTGAGGCATACCCATGAAGTCACATCTGTAGATGGAGCGGTACTGTGCTGTCAAGGCCTTATGAATCTCCCTCTCAGATGGAGGACATTTCCAAGGGAAGCTGACATACTCAGAGCTTCGTGCAGCGTCCCTAGGCAGCCTCCACATCATGAAAGACTTGGGGAAAATAGCTTGATTTAAAGGTTACGATACACTGTGAGAGGTCAAGCATGGCATTCAACTATGAATGTAAAATTGAGGCTAACACAGCCTAAATACCAACCTGACTGGGATGCGGGTTGTTTCTCCTTTGCCCTGAGGCTGTTCCTGTGCGAATGCATTCAGGTTTACAGCCTGGCTGCCAGCAAAAATCCTTGTTGTATACAGTTGAACCAAAAGGTCCAGACTGTGAATAAGAGTCTATAAATGAAGTTGACGCTGGGCACCTATACATACAATTACACAAACACACAGAAACAAACATTAACTCTGTATGCCTATTCAAAATTTAACCAAAAGCCAAAAAACCCCAACCCATAAACAGAACTTACAGCAGAATTTCAGCAGCTGAGTTTGGTCGATAGATGAATTGTCTTCTATTAGACGTTTCATATGGATCCCACCACTGTTTGCCTTCTACAAAAAATGTTACTATTAGCTCATAACCCTGAATGCTTGAGATGTAGAGTACAACGGTCACTCTGGGCTGCAGGTAAAAAGCAAGGTGAACTTCTCTTTGAGTATTTTTTTTAATGGGATTTGGGAAAATGAGGGGGAAATATACCCCCATCCCCTTTGGAAATGACATCCTTGCTTACACTCACAACAGCAGGTAGGAACCAACAGTTACCCCAAGACAAGCAGACATGAATAAGGAAATTAAAGGTGACACTTTAACAATAATACTTACAATTTTGAAAGTAGCAACAGGAAAACTAATAATACATTTTGACTTTGCAACAGTCCAAAATAATATTGTGAAATTATTCAAACTAAATATCATTTGCAGTTTAATCTACCACAGTGTATAATATATTTTAATTATACAATATAATGAGATAAACCCAGCATATTACTGTAAACCAAAACATAATAGAAATGTAAGAGAATAACATGATGGTGGTCAAATTAAAGCAAATTTAGTTAACAAATGTCTTGCAGTTATACTTGGTTTAATTACCTTTGGTTGCCATTGGTGACCACTGTTTCGGTATCTTGCTATACTTGTTTCGGTATAATGAAAACCTTCCTATTTCCAGATGACACTTCACTTCATGGATGGCTCGCTGAAAAGCATAACTGACAACTGTGGATCCAAAATTTGAGCCTACATGTATAACAATTAGAACGTTGGGTTATCAGGTGTTGTCTTTATCTGTGAAGCGGCAGAGTTGATCCCGACAGGGTGTTTCCAGGTGCTGTGGTTATGGAGACCTACAACACTTGAATGGCCACTGTGAGCTGCTCAGCAGGGGAGATGTTGCATTAAAAATGTAACATTGCCAGAGATGCCTTATTTATGTCTGCTAGGGGCGGACAGGGCCAAAGTAAGAGTATTTCTCAGAGATATACTATATAAAAACATTTCAAAAAGAAATGCTATATAATTAGTTACTCTGCAGATTAACATTTCACATACAAAACATAAAATTGTTTTGAAGATGGATTTTAAAAGGTACCTCATAATCTTGCACTCCATATGCTCATCTTTTTACTATTTATGTTATAAATATCTTCCAAATATTTAAGGTTATATAGATACAAGAAGAGAAGCAAATTCTCTGGATCATTTCATGTCTTATTTTCAAACTCATTCACATACTCACTCCCACTCAACCATGACTGCCTGGTTGAGTGGCAGTGAATAGCCCAACTTGACTCACATGAAAGTTGGGAGGAAGGTGTGGTATGGTGGTTGGGCCCCCTGGGCCTGTACACCTCCCTTTGTAACTGGATCCTAGACTTTCTCACAGAGAGACTTCAGATAGTGTACATTGGCAGGAAAATCACCTCCACAGCCACTACATTCAACACCAGCGCCCCTGCTGGGATGTGTGCTTGGCCTGCTGCTGTTCACACTAATGACCCACAACTGCTCCGCTAAATAAGGCTCCAATCATGATTATTATGGTGCTTGCTGTCGACACAAGACTGGCAGTGGGCCTCATCAGCAACAACAATGAGACGGCATAGAGGGCTGAGGTGGAGCAGCTGGCAATCTGCTGTTAAAACAACAACCTGTCACTCAACGTTGACAAGACAAAAGAGATGAAAATTGACTTCAAAAAGATCCATGCTGCTCACCTTCTTCTCATCAAAGGATGCTGTGTGTAGCAAGTCAGGAGCACCAAGTTTCTGGTTGTGCATATTGCTAATGAGCTGGTCACACAACTGCATCTCCCTGACCAAGAAAGCACAACAGCTTCTCCACTGCCTCTGCCAGTTTTGCCAGCCTCCGCGCCATACATCCTGTCCAATTTCTACAGTGAAACTACAGAGAGCGCTCTGACCAGCTGCATCACTGTCTAATAAGGGAACTGAAACAAACTCATACAACAACTTCCTGCAGAGAATAAAGAGTCAGCAGAGTATGTCATTGGAAACTCTCTCTCATCAATCAGAGTTGGAAATTGGCACCCACCACGACCCAGATGCTGGTAAAATATGCAAGTGGCTGCTAGATATGCTTTACTCACCAGCTAAAAAAACAGTGTTCATCTTGTAAGTGGATTAGACAGTGGAAATTAGAAAAAAATGCAGCACAAACAGGGCCTCTGAGATCTTTCAGGACCCCTCCCACAGACTTTTCACCCTCCTCCTGTCTGGAAAATGGCAACAAGGTGGTATCTATGTGAGACTACATACCTTACTTCACTTTACTTGACCTACTTGCACCATACTACATATATATCCCCAGAGAATTAGCCTGCCTTTACTGATATTTATTGCACTGTCACTATTTGTTTACATTTATGCACACTGCACACATATATTTGTATTCATACTAGGCTACTTGTATATTTTCTGTTATTGCACTACATTTGTTGTGCACCTTATATTCATTTGTTCATCCTTTTGCTTTGCACTGGGACCAGGGAAACACAATTGTGTTCCACCTACAAACTGCATATAGATGGATGAGTTTTTTCTGTCTAATCATATCCTACCTCGCATGCATCTTTGCCTTCAATAACATAACGGCGTTTGTTGTTTAATATTCAAGTTTGGCGCCACCGCCCCGTCGTGTTTAGATGAACCAACTGCACAACAAGCAGAACTGAGTAAGCGAGTGTCCAATAAGATACTGCAAGGAGTTGACGGCAGCCAATGTCCGCCAGCCGGTGCACAGGACAAACACAGAGGCATCCTCACAGCCGAAAGACCGCGCACTCACTGACGGCGCTTCTCCTCCCATTGTTTGAGACGTAACGTTACCGACGTGCTGGCTTCACATAGCGCTGTAGGGGTAAGCATAATAAATGTTTACTTATTGACAAATGCACCACAGTGTACCTGTAATGAATGAAAACGTGGGTGCTTTGAGGTTTGCACAGCATACAGCGGCGTTGTACATGTTTAGTTGCATGTCTGAGCGGGATAGGATGCTAACAGTATCAAGCCCCCGCTGATAGCAACACTGTGTTGCTAACTTAGCTAGCGTTACGCAGGTAGTTGCCAAACACAAACATTAGCTTCGGCCATAAATACCAACCAGAACAAAGTAAAATGCATGTTAAAGGCTAACTTCCCCATTGACCAAGTCAACTACTATGCTCGCGTTAACATATCGCTTGATAATGTGTTATGAGCTAACTCATATAGCCTGCTATGTTAGCATGTTAATGGCGGCTGGTTGGTCTGGCCGTGTTGCTAGCATAGAAGCTAACGCTAGCTAGAAGGTGAACGTAGGTTAATGCCGCTGACTGTTGCTGAGGCAGCCCGGGTGCAGTGGTGCAGGCGAAGCATCTCTCTCTCCGAAATCACCGTCAATTTTCTTTCAACTTTTATATTAGATAATCCATGCTATCCAGACAGGCGGATGCGATAAAACACGAGGCCTGTTAAAAAGCGGGTGGTGCATGATGGCAATGCGCTAGCCATTGTTCGCAATCAAATCAGCCATTTTAATAATCGTCTCATAAAATGAGCACTGTGTCATGTCAGCTAGCCTAGCTTAAAGGCTAACGCTAAAAGCAAGAGGACACAAAGCGAGAGCGGAGTCACACTGGCTAACAGCTAATGAACAATCAAAGGCGGTGAAGGCTAAAGCTAATGTATTCATCTGCATTAATATTGGGGCTAACGCTATTGCAGAATATAAAGCACTGTGCTGTTTTCACTAGCTCTGCACTATACCACCATGAATGAATGCTTGACGTAAAGAACTGGTGAACTAATGTGCACTTGAGTGTAATATTAAAGGGAGCATCATGTTGGCCTTTGCATACAATGGATTATTAACGTTAGTCATCCCAGACACCCTCCTCCCACCCCCCGATTTAAACAATAGATGGAACTGACAAAGCAAGATGCAGACAATTTACTAGGGGCATGTTTAGATATTGCCACTGCTGCTGCATGAGTAGACCTGGATGCATTTAACTGAAATCATATTTTTTCCTCTCCATTTAGCGTGCCAAGATGGGAAAGGATCCGAGGAAGCCTAGGGGCAAGATGTCCTCATATGCCTACTTTGTGCAAACATGCAGAGAGGAGCATAAGAAGAAACACCCTGATGCCTCTGTCAACTTTGCAGAGTTCTCCAAGAAATGCTCTGAGAGATGGAAGGTAAATCAATTACTCTCAATAATATAATGTTCTTTTTTAATTTTCTGAATCCAGCATTTTCCTCTCAAGAAGTGTGTATCTTCTAAAACTGCTTGTGTCCTCCCAAAGACGATGTCATCAAAAGAGAAAGGCAAGTTTGAAGATATGGCCAAACAAGACAAGGTGCGTTATGAGAGGGAAATGAAGAATTACATTCCCCCCAAGGGCCAGAAGAGAAAGCGATTCAAGGACCCCAATGCCCCCAAGAGACCACCGTATGTACCATTATCAACTAGCTCCACACCATTTTTTTTTTTATGACATGTTAAACACTGACACATTTTTTCCCCACAGGTCTGCATTCTTCCTATTCTGTGGAGACTTTCGCCCCAAGGTAAAAGGTGAGCACCCTGGACTCAGCATTGGAGACACAGCAAAGAAGTTGGGAGAGATGTGGAACAGCTTATCTGCAGAGAACAAGCAGCCGTACGAGAGGAAGGCTTCCAAGTTGAAGGAGAAATACGACAAAGTAAATAGACAAATCTGAACCCATTTCTATGAAATTTGAAAATTACATTTTGTTCTATTTGAGGTCCAAAGATTTGAGTTTTGTTTTACTTTGAAGCACCAAAAACACAATTGTTGTGCTGCTCTCCACAGGATATCGTTGCCTACCGCACAAAGGGCACAGTGGATTCAGGACCTGCGGCTACAGCAGAAGAGGACGAAGAGGAGGAGGAAGAGGAGGAGGGAGACGAGGAGGAGGATGATGATGATGAGGATGATGATGAGTAGATTACAGAGGGATGGGACCTGAAGTTTTGTTTATGCCATATAACCCCAATATACTCAATTCACCATCTTGAAACATAAGTCAGATTGAACAAGAACATGTGTATATTTAATGTTTTTAAGATGTACAGTGTTATTCTCCTTTTTTTGTAAAGTTAACACTACATATCTTAAGTTTGAGATTTTCTAGTCGTAGTTCTTTAACCCCTGCCATATTACGTAACAATTTAGGAGAACTTAAAATCGGTATGAGCGTAACTAGTCTTTCGGTGTTTCAACTCAAAAATGAGATTTCTGAGTTGGTAGTGTATTTTTCTTTATTTTGAAAAATATTTTTTTATGTGCTGTCCCAATGTCTTTTTATTGTTCTTTGAATACCACTAATATCAAATACAGCTGTCGACATTCAAAAATGTCTTCAATAAAGGTCGTTTTTTTTAAGAAGTTTGTTTTTCCTTCCTTTTATCTTTGACTAATTTTCATGATGTTTAAATGGAATTTAAACTTCACTTGCTGACTTGTCTCATAGTAATAAAACAGTCAAATTTGAACGCAGTTTAATTTATGTGGATTAAGTGTCTAAACATTTTTGGCATTTACTGTAAGAGCCATTTGAAACACATTAATCACATTGTTCAATTACCAAAATGTATTTTAAATGCAGCTGAAATGTGTGGCTCTTTGCACTGTGCATTATTAACATTAAGATAATCCTGTTTGTCCCACAGTGGGGAAATCTGCATTGCATATTCTACCAAACATGACAACTCACTAACAAATAACATTTATTGAGAAATTTTTTAGTACGTTTAATCAACTAATATTTTTAATGCTCACTAGTGAAGGTAGCAATGTTTTAATGACCAGTCGGTCCCTAATACACAATACACATAATTCAAACACTAGAGTTACAAATTTTCATTAAAAAGTTGAGCTGATAGCTGCACAAGTGCAAAATAAATAACGACCGCTCGTTCTTCTAATCATCTCAACTAATTTTTTAATTACAGTTTCTGATGCACTGTAAATCCCTGGAGTGAAGCCATGTCTAGATAAACAAGATGTAGTTGG